AACTCACCAGGCTTTTGTCGTAATTTTCTCCCCTCTGCCCAGGTGAGGAGGGGAGTGATAGAGCAGCTGTGGTGGGCACTTGGTATCCATAGAATAAGATCTTAGGTATTCAAACACTTTATCTTGATTAATCATAAATGGCATTTATTAGGAATATCCTTAAACTTAAATCTTAGAATCAGCTTTGTCGAGCCTTCTGCCTCACCTTCCATGGTAATGACCAAATCTGTTTCTTTTCTAGCCTTGAGAAATGCCATTTTTGCCACCTTGGATCATTATAGATCTTGTCTCATTGTGTTTTTTCCCTTCATAACCCAACAGCAATCAACAATATTGTCTGTAATAATATATTAAATGCAAATTATATTATGTAATAATTTTATAAAACACTTAAAACAACCTCCACCAAGTACCAAGATTTTTACTCATCAAATTCACCCAAAATGCTTCTAAGACTTCCAAAAGACATCCTCAAGGAAAAACTACAAAGCCTTACAATTAGAAACAAAGTAGGAATAAGAGTAAACCAGCATGAAACTGGAAAAAACATCCCAGCTTTCACAAGAACAGAGCTCACAGTGGAAGCAATAGGTTCAAGATTTTTTTCTTTTATTCTCACACCACATTTACTTCACATTTTCAAACACTGAAAAGCTGTCATTTTTCCCAGCAAAAAATACAGAACGTTCATCTTTCAGCAGAATTACTGTTGGCAGACATTCACTTCTAGTATAAATCTTTTCTAAATACTCAAAGTAAGTGTTGAATTCTCTGTTGTGAATTCAAACTTCTCCATATGGGGAAATATGTGCAGTATCAATCAGAATATCTTGAAAAATTATGTGTGAAGAGGCTGATCATAACATTTACAGAACACACACACATGCTCAAAACTACACTCTTCATCTAATTTTCAGTAAATGCTATTCCAAGATGCCTACAAATGGATGTGAATAGTTCTTATGAAAGAAGGATTACTTTTGTTAAGGCCTTGATCCCTGAGTGGCTAAACCTTCTTGCCTGCTATTCAGCTGACTGCCTTACACAGCAGCTTTTGAACAGAGGACTTGCAAAGAACCAAATGACAACATCTCCAAGAGTCCGAAAGCGCATCAGACTCAGAGAGCTGTGTCTTTACACCAGAAGGAGCTCTGATGGGACTTCAGTAACGAAACCCTAATAACATTCCTACTCATAGTCTGAAGTAGTAGCTTTACTACATTGCCGTATTCAGACTGAGAAAAGAATCCCGTTTCTGCAACACTGCAACTTTTGAAAGTAGATTGCATTCTCCCAGATGTCATCAACAAAGCCCAAGGCTTGTGTTTCATCAGCACAGAAACATCCCTCATCAGAATGTACAATCCTATGGCCTGAGACAGCAGGAAGCAAAAGATGCCATCTATTTTAACATCAGCAAAGCCAACGTTTAAATCCACAAAATACTAAGAGCAAGTAGTTAACTGACTGGCACATGTAGGGGCTAAGCACTACCACTGCAGTTAAAAGGTAAGTGCCACCATGTCCTTCTAAAATCTTCCACCAGCCACTTTTGGGAGACTCACAGAACTGCTGTGAAGAGCCTCACATATTTTTATTCATAACCAGAAAAATTCATTCATTGGAAAAAAAGCTACTGCTTTGTTTTATAATTTGTTCACGAGCACCTGACTGTATTAAGCACCATTCCGTTACCTCATCCCCCCTTCAAGGACAGACTATGCAAGTTCTAAAGAGCTGCAGGGGATTGTCTGCTGCAACACTCTACAAAGCCACAATCACAGCCACACAACTTCTTGTTTTGTTCATATAAGAACTGTCACACATGGTCAAGGTCTGTTCTCAGAAAAGATAAAATAGCAGATCCAGGTAATTAAAATTTATAGCCCACCTCAGAGTCACTTTCATTTTCTGATGTGCACAAACAGACTAAGACCTAATTTTATGATTCAGATGAATTTGTTTAGAAGACGCAGCATCACATCTGGAAACACAACAAAATATTTTCATTTTTTTCTGTTGAATCATACACTGGGTAGCTACTTTGAAGAGGATAAGGGGAAAACTGAGTGCTGGAAGGCACTGGGGTAGAAAGGATTGGAGATATTTAGAGGAAACACAAAGTTCCAACCAGACTGAAGTTCTATTGTATAATCCCAGTACCTGAAAGGAGACAGGGCTTCTGTCCCTAACAGACAAAAAGTGGGGGGACAGACATAAATAGACACACCAATCTAGCCTGCTAACACCTGGTTAAACCATAATTTTCCTGACAGTTTGAAGTGATATATTCTTGACTTAATATGGATAAAATATGCTGGACTTAACACACCTATACTGGTACCTTCAAGACTGAACCTAATTTAGGAAGGCAGAATCACAACAGATCCTATGGATTTTTTAATTGAATAGTAACTTTTTACTCTTACTGGAATTTCTGTATAGTGACAGGGACATGAAGAATGATCTGTGTTTTTTAGAGGTATCATGACTCAAGACTTAAGAAAAAATCCTGTAATTTCAGCAGTTCTTTTCTTGTTGTTGTTATTGCCATACTGCACAATCCATTCATTTCAAGTCAAAGAATCTATTACAGGTATATCACAGTCATTAAGAAACCTTGACCCCAATTTGACTCTTTATCTAAACGGGTGGAACTAGGTAGTTACCTATCAGAATATCACTCCTGGGCCGGTGGAGCTCGTTAGCCCTTAAAAAGGCAATCCATCTACGTCCTGAGGACCTCGCTGCCACCGTCCAAGCTCGCTTGGCCCCGGCGGCAGATGAACCTTAGGATTAAAGGGTGGGCTCAGTTCCGCGCACACTGTGTCTCACCTAAAAAATCCAATGCGCAGGCTGGAAGGTGGAAAGACCTTCCCCGGATCTTCGCTCGCGAAGACTGGCCATTATCAAGGTAAAATCCTGTTGATCTATTCTAATGGCACCTGACTGTCCAGGGAGATTTCAATCGTGTTTTGGGCCCAGGCCTCAGTTCTTTCAGTGATTTTATTCCATTCCTAATACTGAAACATCGATGATTGATGCTGAATTTGCTTCACCATCTAACTTTCAAAATAAGTTCATCTTCAACTACCTGGGTTCATAGTTTATCAACATCTTAAAGAACTCTGCTGGATCATCTTTCTAATCTGCAAGACTAACTAACTGAAAGGAATTTGTTAGATTCAACTAGCAGTTTGACATTCTAAATATCAGTGATTTTCCTGCTTTTGTCATTGAATTTGCTGGGGTCATATCTTTAAGACCAGACAGAGCTCCCTACATATCCAGAATTGTGCCAAAATACAAACTGAGGGCTCTTTTCTGAGATTAGGGGACACTAAGAATTCCCTGTCTTGCAAAAACAGACTTCAGTTTCTTAGTGATACCTACAGAGTTAGATCAGTTTACCTGCAGAAAGGATCATCAACAGCAGGAGAATTACACAGAACCTTTTAACAACCAAAACCAATCAAACCTTTTCTCACCAGCTGCCACAGCCTGTGAAGCAGGCCTGCAGACAGTCACATTAGACAAATCTTTAACTTTTTACATTCCTTACATGAATTTGCCTACTCAGTTTTTGCCATGTGTCAGCCACCTGATATCCGCCTAACCAAATTATCAAATGTTTTTTTTTTCACTCCCTGATGGAAGTGCTTCTCAGACAGCAAATGCTGCCACAGAGGCCAGTCATAACCTTTTTACCTCAAACAGCCCTTGGACAGAAAAGAAGATAAACACCTGCTGTCGAGCCCATGGGAGATGGATGGTGGGGACATGTTATCCTCTGTGCATGCAATTGCCACACAGGAGCAGCTGCAAGTCATATAAGCTAGTAGCACAGGCAGCAAAACACATCCAAAAGAGGAACCTGCTCCCTATCTCTTCCCAGTGCAGCAACCCTTTGAAAATCATTTTATGTTTATACTTGTAACAGGAATGACATCTTGGGGATTAGGTAAATTGAGGAACACTTTCAGTTTAAGAACTGACCTCGGTAAGGAATTCTAGGATACTTCATGTACTACTGTCCAAAGAAACGTCTTCTCTTTTGGGACATTTCAGAAATGGACATAAGTCAGGCTGAACATGTAGTCTGTAAGACCTGACATAAACCCACCTAACAGCCTTAACAAAAATTCTGATGACTTCTCAGTCCAGCTCCCTGGATATAGTTAATCATCAGAAGCAGATTGCTAACAGGAATCATAACTAACATTAGACAATAAAACACTTATACAGCCACTTCAAGCAGTCTACAAAGCCAAGACACAGACAGATCGTGGGAGAGAACCCCTCCATGGGGAACAAGCCCCCTGCTGCCCTTCAGTGGTAGCACAGAATCATGGAGTATCCTGAGCTGGAAGGGACCCACAAGGATCATCGAAGTCCAACTCCTGGCCCTGCACAGGACACCCTAAAAATCACTCCACGTGCCTGAGAGCACTGTCCAAACACTTGTTGAACTCTGGCGGGCATAGGGCCGTGACCCTTTTCCTGGGGAGCTTGTTCCAGTGCCCAACCACCCTGCGGGCAAAGAGCCTTTTCCTGCTACCCAGCCTAAACCTCCCCTGACACGGGTCCGGCCGTTCCCTCCAGTTCTGCCACCGGAGAGCCGAGAATGGTGCCGCCCCTCCGCTGCCCTTCGTGAGGAAGTCCCGTTAACAGCCCGAGATCCCACTCCCCAAACCCACTCCTGGCCGCCCTGATGCCACAGCAGCCCAGCACGGAACTCCCAAGGCCCTCGGCTCCGTGTTTACAGCTTCATCTTCCTATCGACAAACCAACCTCCCACCCCGCTCCTAGTGTCGCGGACCAGACATAACAAGACCCAGTCGGCAGAGGGAAAGCAGCCGGGAGGGAGGCCAGGCCAGCACAACTCCCCCCACCAGTCGGGGCGGGAGGGGCTCGGTCCGCCGAGTCCCGTGGGTCCCGCCGCTTGCTCCCTCTCTACCCACCCGTTCCCATTCCCGCTCCCGTCCCCGCCGCGCGGGTACCTCGTGCGGGGCCCCCGCTGCTCCTCACGGGCCCCGTGACGGTCCCACGGCGGCCGCTGCCGTCACACACAGACACAGACACAGACACAACACCCGGCCCAGGCGGCCCCCCCTCGGCCCGCCCGCCCCGCGCAACGTGCGGCAGCGCCCGTCCCCACCGTCACCTTCAGGCCCCGCCGCGGCCCCGCCTGCGCAGGCGCCGGGCCCGCCCCCTCCCGCACGGCCCCCTGGGGCCCGTAGTCCCCGTGCCCCGGCGCGGGTTTCGCCGCCTCTCCCGGGACCGCCGAAGACTGGAAGAGACTCTCGGGATCGCCCGGCCCGACCGGCGCTGCCAATGTAGCCCCTAAACCACCGCACAGCGCCACATCCAGACGCTTCTCGCGGCATCTCCAGGGATGGCGATTCCACCACCTCCCTGACCAATGCCTGACGGCGCTAACAGCGATACTTTTTTTTCCCCCTAACATCAAATCTGAATCTCCCCCGTCCCAGCTTAAGCCCATTTCCTCTGGGCCTCTCCGTGCAGGCACGGCAGACCAGACCGGCCCCCGCCTCACTGCACCCTTCTCTCGGGGAGTTGTAAAGAGCGGCGAGGTGCCCCCCGGGGCTCCTTTCCCGCGGGCCAAACGCCCCCCCCTCCCTCAGGCGCCCCTCACACGACACGTGTTCCTCAGGGGACGCTGCGCGCGCGCAGCGCCGTGTTTTCCCACTCCTTCCTTTCACCCCTTCTCCCGCTCCATCCCCCGGACGTGACGCTCGTCACTTCCTCAAACAGGGATGGCGGAGCGCTGGGACGGGTGAGTGCTGGGCCTGCCTCCCTCCCTGCCTGCCTGCCTACCTGCCTGCCTGCCCGGCCCCGGGCGGACCCGCGGCGGTGCCCGGGGCGGGCGCGGCGAGCGGGGCCGGGCGGGCGCTGGGAGGCGTCGGCGCCGCCGTTAACGGGCGAGGAGGCCCCGAGGGCTCCCGGCCGAGTCACGGGGGAAGGGAGGGAAGGAAGGAGGGAGAGGGAGGGAAGGAAGGAAGGGAAGGAAGGAAGGAAGGAAGGGAAGGGAAGGAGGGGGCTCATCTCAAGGCCGGCGGACCCGTTCCCCCACTTTTCTCTCCGCCCTCCTCTCCCCCCCACCCCTTCCCCACGCTCCCCCAGGCGTTTTGAGCTTCCCGGCTGTTCCCGCGAAGGAGCTGCTGCTCCCCCTGGGCGCTCGGCTTGTGAAAGTAGGATCGTTTCACAATTCAGCCCTTCCAACCATCTGCTTGGAATAGCCGCGTGAGCGTAAGGAAGGCTGTGCTGCTGCTGCTTTGGAAACCGAGTCAGGTGCTGCGGCGTAGCGGAGAGATTGTTTCTACAAGTTGCACTCTGAGGCCATCTGTTTTGAGGAGAGCTACTCTGGTGTTTCTGTGTAGCGGCCCCCTTAATGGTCGTGTTCAGGCTTTAAGAGGCGAGCCTGGATACGGTGGTCCGTGCATGGTTTTTGTTAAGGAGGTGCCAAATTGCCCCGTCCTGTGCCTTATTAAAAAGCAGGTGCCCCCGTCCTGATGATGGTGTAAAAAAAGATCAGGTGTAAGGAAGGCTAGGTTGTGCTGCAGACCAAATGAGCTTTGTGGCGGTGGTTTGCAGCCCTGCGGGCTGTGTGGGTATTTGTGAAGTGGAGATGCGGGAATGCATTTGCAGCTGAATATTCCAGGTTAGGCTGGGAGCGAAGTGGGTATTCGTGACAAACTGGAAAATCTGCAACTGATATGAAAATTTGCTCGTAAGACTTTTAAGGACTTAAATTTTAAAGCATAATAATAATGGCCAGTCTTCGCAAGCGAAGATCCGGGGAAGGTCTTTACACCTTCCAGCCTGTGCATTGGATTTTTTAGGTGAGACACAGTGTGCGCGGAACTGAGCCCACCCTTTAATCCTAAGGTTCATCTGCCGGGGCCAAGCGAGCTTGGACGGTGGCAGCGAGGTCCTTAGGATGTAGGTGGGTTGCCTTTAAGGGCTAACGAGCCCCACCTGCCCGGGAGTGGCCCTGACCGGGAATCGAACCCGGGTCTCGGCGGTGATAGCGCCGCGCCTTTACCACTAGACCACCAGGGGCTCCATTTTAAAGCATATCAGGTTAAATAATGAATTTAGTAATTTGAGAGAACCTGTGTCTCTAAACAAAAAATGACTTGTAGGTTACCTTTTACAGAGAGGGAAAGAGGGAGATTAGAGTCTCAAACCCAATAACACGTCGCAGTTGAATCAATGAAGATACCTAGGAAAGACTCAAACATGAAGAGTAAAGATTATCTTAATTTGATCTTATTATAATAAGAGTACTTTGAAATTTCACATATTTTATTGTGCTGTCTTTATGAAATAACTAGTCAAACTTGAAGTCTATATGTTGTCTAGGGCAAAAGCGTGTTATTCTTTTATAATGCCAGTGTTATGTTTGAAAGTCATGATTGTAACCACCAGTAAGTGAAATTCAACACTGAAAATCTTTGGTGGTTTTCTTTCCCCTCTATAGATTTTCATTCTGATCAGTGGACAAGGAGACTAACCAGTCAAAAATGGCTGATGTAACCAAGACAGAAGAACAGGAATTAGAGAAGAGTTTGGCTGAAGAAGTGGAAAAAACACCTGGTACTTCAGAGTCAGATTTGGTTGTGGGGTGTGGGGGTGAAGGTGACTGTTCCACGTCAGGTACAGTGAAGCCCACTGAAAATGAACAAGAATTTGGTCATGGTGATCAGGACAGCAGAGCAAAGAGGAAGAATTTAGATTCTGCAAATGAACCTCCAAAGAAAATAGTGAGTATCGTTTATTTTGAGTTGTTTTCAGATCTTTTTCTCAAAACCTTAGCTGAAGAAAAGATTGAAAATATTTATGCTAAGCATATGTGAACCAGCATGAAACACCAAATATCAAAGTATGTGGGTAGCTTGCTAGCAAAATAACAGGTGCACAAATTATGTTGTCTTCACAGAAGAGAAAGAGGGCTGGTAATTAGAATGTTAGTCTCAGCACATGCTTAGTCTAATTCTAAGACTGTCCTTCCATCATCTGTGTAGTAGCAATCTGGTAGTGTAGGGTTTACTGGCGTTAGTCCAAGTCCTGTATCTTGAACTCAGATCTTGTGTATGTTGTTATGCTGTGTGGTGGAGTAGTTATCTGTGCTTGGGAGGTTCTTCCATAAGATAATTTTGTCCTTTCATTTCATCGCTAAGGTATTGTACAGTTTACAAAACCCTTCAAACTGCATCCTCTTTGATATAACTTAACTGTAATTTGTTTGCAAAGTGAAGTACTGAAAGATTTAAGGTTTTTTTAGACTACAAAAGTAGCAGAAAATATGTGCCCTTTTAAATGGGAGGGTGAAAAGGGTAATGTTTTATATAATGCTGTCTTTTGTTATGTGTGAGCTTGCAGAAACTGATGCTTTAATATCCAGTCTAATTTTGACCTTTTGGGATGTTTAAGTGTAGTTTGAAAATGTCTTTGACCTAACATTTTGTTTCTCTGTTCAGAATTTTCCCAGGATGTTAAGTTATGGCTTAGCAGTCTGGTAAAGTAAAGGGTGCCCTTCGCTGTTGTAGAAACATTATTAACCCTTTCATCTTTTTAACAACGTGGGATAAGGCTTAGATAAACAAGAAATACATTGGTTTTGCATAGCTTAAGGGTGGAGGGAGGTGTTTGAACATATGTGCCAGCATGTAGATGCTATTGCTGATGGCTGTTTGCAGCTGAGATGTTCTTAATGGTTTGTATGAGTATGTCCTCCACACTTGTCTAAGCCGTTCTAACTTATGTTACCTTCAGTTGCCATTCAGAGAGAGCCATCTGTGCTTACCCTAAAAAAGAATAGAAGTGGTCAAAATATTTGTTAGTATCAGTCAGCCCGCTTTGGTAATAAACAGATGATGGAGATGGACATTCCAGACAAATACGTCTGTATTTATTCTAAAGGTTAGCAGATGTATATGAAACACTGAAGAGTTTACTTGTTATCGTACAATCAGTTAAACCTTCTTTTCTCTTGAGGAACAGCTATTTCCCAGATGCTGGGATATTGGCTTTTGTAGTCAGCTGTGGGGAATGCTTTTAATGGTTGTGGGGATTCAATACTGGCTTTATAGCATGTTTGTGGGTTTTAACTGAGGATCCTTCACTCTGGTTTGTACTGTTATTTCAAATGCTTTTGTGCCTCACAGAATATGTGTTGGTTCTGTGTGTTCTGTTACTTTATTTATAACTTATTTTCATTTCATGTATATAGTTGAAGATTATTTTCAAGATGAAGAAATGTTGGGAGCATAGTATCTGGGTGTAGACTGCTTCTCTTTGTAACATGGGACAGAAATCTTTTGGATTATTTAAAGTTAAGGCTAAATCAGAGACATTTCTATATCTAACTGATGGAATATATTGTTAAGTGATTCCTCATTCCCTTACCATGGTCTGCTGAAAGCTCTGGCAGTGGGTCCATCCACTTGGGGCTTTATGCAACATTGGCTAGTTGGCATTTTGATTAAATTGGCAGTTTATACACTTCTGTCAATGAAAACACTGAATTTTTGAAACAAACTCTTTGAAGAGGCTTCAAGTTCCTGGAGAAGGAACATCCTTTTCTTCAGTCCCAGGCTTAGGAGGAGTGCAACTGATTCTTTGAGAGCGGTGAGAGTATTAGAGAACTGAGAGATGCTGGGTATCATCCCTTAGAAATTACTTGGGTGAACTGAAAAAGGGATTGAATTTTTAAAGGACATGATTACCAGGACAGATGCAGGAAATATCTTTATAATGATGGTGCTCTTCATAGTATTGCTTGTTTGCTTTCTTAAATTCTTGAAGTGAACACGTGTGTCTTTTGATTAAATGAAAAAGTAATAAAAAGAACTCACTGCTTGAGTCTATTCCTTCCTGTCATTTCTGCAGTCTGAGATAGGCCACGGGCAAACTGTAGCTGCACATTATAATGAACTTCAAGAAGTTGGATTGGAAAAGCGTAGCCAGTCTCGCATATTCTACCTCCGAAACTTTAATAATTGGACAAAGAGTGTCCTCATTGGTAAGCTTCTTTGATTGATCTCTTAGACTTGGGTAAAATGTAACCAATTTTTGTATCAAAATGTAACTTTTTTGTTACTGTACTTGATT